GCGGGTCGCAAGCGAGTCAGTCATCGGCCGGATGTGCTAATGTTTGCACGCTGTTAATTTTGTGCGGGAACCGCGGAATAGTTAGGGCGTCTAGTAAATATCCTGTCTAGGAATTATAACGCGCATTCCCTGTTTGGATAGCCTTTCCCGGGACTTATTGGGTCCGACTCAGAATCTGTATAAGTGCATTCGACAATATAAGCTAGTGCGGCCTCTGATTCTAGAATTAACTATTGCTACGCGAAACGGTAGTGACCTTTGACCCAGAAACTCCGGGCGTGTTTTGTGCGGTAACCTTATACCCCGCGATAGTTAGTGGCTTCTGTAAGCTAGTTAATAGTACGATAGAGTTAAGTGACTGTCATCGTGGTGAACCAAGAAAGTGACTGTGGATAACCTCGAAAGGCCCCCTCAAGTTGGAGCGGTGTCTACGCTCGGGCTGCTGCCGACGGCTAAGGTCTAGGTTCAATCACCATCAGTCACACCCAGATACACACCACATCACCATTCTTTCCCTTGCACTACACAACCACATGCGACCTGACCGACTCCGGAGGGACCAGTCGCCTTGGATAGAGGTAAGTGCACTCCGCCAAATTCCTTCCGGTCGACTGGCCGTAGTATAACGCTCCCCCATATATTTAGTGTAATTAGAGAGATTCCACGTGGCCTTAGGAGGCCCGACCTACGTTTGCTCGGGAAGTCTTCTGCTGATGGGCCCCAGGGGATTGGATCCTTTAAGGGAGCAACCGTAGGCCGTAACAAACTGGTAGCAGAGCGTGGTTCCGGGTTCGATTCCCGGTCGATCCCGACTATAGTGTTTGATAAACATTAAACAATTTTGGTGGCAGGGAGCGTTGGTGTGATTGGTTTAATTTGCATCTACAATCACGCCCGTCCGTAATACGTAAAAATATTTTTTTTGTACGTAATAATAGAATTATTTTCCTTTGTTGCTTTGTTGCTTGCCTTTTTTTGGTTAGAGAGTAATTTGAAAAGCCGCGCCCTAGGTTGTGCAAGCGGGAGATTTTCTAGAGATATACGTCATGTAGGTAGATGGTTATTTTTACGTAATCGGTTAATTATCGTTGTCGGAGAGTTGTAGTGGATTACTTATCGAAGGTTCGATTTCCGAGCTAGGCATTTTTTGTTGATCGACCGTGATGTGTATCTTCGTTTATACTGTAAGTTGTATTTGAACTAAATAGTAGTAATTTGTATTTGCGCAATTTGAATTTAACTTGATTCGATCGCACTAGTATTTGTTATTTGTTAATTTGATTTGTGTCTTTTTTGTGCTAACTTGTATTTGGTTGATACGTAGCAAGTAGTTCGTATTTGTGTAATTTCTATTCAACGCGATTTGATAGGAACTGCATTTATTAACTGTTAATTTTTTGTTGTATTTTTTATTTGTTATCTTTGTAAACTGTGCTCAAGCCGCGTCGTAATTTGCATTTAATAGTGATGACATCGCCCAAGCTACTGATCCGTTGTTTGCGGACTGAGCTACGCTGGGCCACAAGCGCCCATGCTTTGATAGGTCGACCGGATAGGGTCCATAACTTGATGAAGCAGTTCGAGCAGGTGGATGCTCGAAGGGCCGCAGTGGAGGAGGCTTACGCTGAACTCGAGGATTCGGATGTGGAGAAGGGAGTCCTGGACTCCTGCTTCGCGGACTATGAGCAGTTCTTGTGGCTCACGGACGAGTTGATCGAGGCTGAAGGCAGGTATGCCGAGGAGGCTCGTGAAGCTCGGATGAGTGACTTGTCCGAGTCCTCTCTGAAGCGGCTTCAGCCGGAGCTGTTGGGACGACTCCCAACTCTGGATCTGCCAAAGTTCTCCGGGGTCCTTTCCGAATGGCTGACCTTCGTTGGTCTTTTCGACAGCCTAGTGGACTCCCGGAGTGACTTGACCCCGAGCCAAAAGATGGTGTACCTCCTGGCCTCACTGGAGGGGGAGGCCCTGGGCGTCGTCGGCCACTTGAGATTGTCGGACGACGCCTACCAGACTGCTCGGGACCTCCTAGCCATAAGATACGCCAACGTCCGGCGAATTGCGGACGAACATGTTAAGCAGCTTCTAAGCCTCCCGCTGCTTAGTGACCGGGCCAGACTGCGTCCGGACCTGTTGGATCCAGTCTTGGTGGCCTGTAATACTTTGAGGCGGCTGGGTTTACCAGTGGGCGAATGGGCTTTTTTGTTGCTCCGCATCGTGCTGTCCCGTCTACCTCTCGACCTGCGAATCCATTTTGAGGAGAGGTACGGCGGGGACGAGGCCTCCTATATTCCGCCCTTCTATGACCTGCTGCGGTTTTTGGAGGAGCAGTGCCGGCAGATCGAGAACGCGGCGGGCACCGTTGACGACTTGCGAGACGTGCCCAGTGAGAGGCTGAACCCGCCAGGCAAGTCGTCGTCAACCCCCCCCTGCTCCTATTGTCGAGCATCTGATCACCGGGTAACGTCGTGCCCGAAATTATTAGGTAAGCCGGTTCCAGCGAGGCGAACTATCGCCAAGGAGCGCCGCTGGTGCTGGTCATGTCTGGGAGGGCACCTCCAGCGAGACTGTCCGCATCGACGGCCCTGTCTGCATTGCCAGGGCAATCACCATGCCGTTTTGTGCCTGGGTGCGAACGGCATCTCCTCTCGGGGCTCTGCCAGGCCCTCGACCCCCACGGGCGGGGGCGCTCAGCCACGCCCTCTGCAGGGTGACTCTCGGCGCCCACCGTCCAGCCACCAGGCCCCTAAGTTTGAAAGGAGTCCCTCCCCCGACCAGTCGGGGGGTAATTCCCCCAGGGGCGGGGGTGTCATCACCCCCCCTCAGCGTGTGGAGAGGAACTTCACGGCCACTCATCGGTCCGCTGGACCCTTCTCACTTCCGTTAGCTGAGTGGCCGCGACTGGTGTACCACTGTTCCCCATTTGATGGAGGCGGCCCTGTCTAGCTGCTGCCTTAGTTCCCACCACGGCCGCCTCCACTGAGCCTTAAGCCGTCAACAGTCCACTTGTCAAAATGTTCTGTTGCCGACGGCCTCAGTGAAGGCGTACAACCCGAGTGGCAACTGTTAAAGGTTGTGCTCTATTTATCTCGGGTTCACGCCATGTGGCCTCCCCTTGGTGGTGGGAAGATTAGGGCCCCCCTGTAGCGTTGAATCACGCTGTCAAGGGGTATTAGATTTGGTTTGGTCGAGCACTTAGTCAAAAAAAATACTTTTAATTAAAATTAAAAATTGCTTTGGGCTTTCCGCGAAATTCTCCTATTTGTAGCGGTTTAAATTAAAAGAATTGAATTTAATCTACTCCTTTAAATGCTACTGCATGTGTTTTGTACATATATTTAATCACTGTATTTGATTGTTGCGTTTGTTTGCTGAAAGGAAAATTTGAATTCATCTGAAATGGAATGGCGCACTATTTGAAAAATTATGTTTATGTTTATGATAGTGTTTAATCATTTTTGTTTTCGAAGAAGTAGGGCTGTCCCTTACGTTATTGTTTTGTTTAATTTGCAAGTTGACCTATGCGCATCGGTGATTAATTTGGTTGAATTAATTCTGTAGTTGAACATTGATGCTTTTGAAAAATTAGTTGAAATATGAGCAAAGGACTACTTGCCTAACAGGCTAGCTAGTTTTGGAGATTATCAGATTGAAATCAGCTGCCGCACTATTTTAGTAAATGATAATATGGTGGGTGGCCTGGCTAGGCCTACTTGTTGAAAATTCATACTAGGGACTATCTGTGCGTTTCGTTCGGCTCTCCACAGACGACGTTCATGTGGAATTGGTAGGTGCTCTTTGCACTGAAGCTTAGGAGGCCGCTCGGGGCCGCTTCGTGTCGCGTCGCTGTTTGCAGACCTGATCCGGTCGGATTGCGGAACTAATCATAGGGGCACAGATAGGTGTTTGAAAGAGGTCGTCGGACTTCTGTCCAATACAGGACTTGATAAAGTGCTGCGATGCCCAGGAGGGGCATCCAGTGGAGGCTGACCCTCCGGCTTGCCACGTTAGGGCTATCTTTTGAGGCGCTGGTTAGGGTTGCAAGACCTGATGGGTTGCCTAAGGTGGCCTAGTTTGGTTGTAGATTCGGTCTTGCAACTTGCAGTCTCGACCTTGTCCCGCTGACCGGTTTGCTCGCGGACCTAAATCCTTATGTCCGGGACGGGGGTTTGTTCGCGCAAAACGTTGATGTCGGAGTCGACACCAGATGTCACTCAGCTCGGCGCGATTCCGGTTTGAACTTCGTCTGGGGCGTGGCAGTGGCGCGCGGGTCGCAAGCGAGTCAGTAATCGGCCGGATGTGCTAATGTTTGCACGCTGTTAATTTTGTGCGGGAACCGCGGAATAGTTAGGGCGTCTAGTAAATATCCTGTCTAGGAATTATAACGCGCATTCCCTGTTTGGATAGCCTTTCCCGGGACTTATTGGGTCCGACTCAGAATCTGTATAAGTGCATTCGACAATATAAGCTAGTGCGGCCTCTGATTCTAGAATTAACTATTGCTACGCGAAACGGTAGTGACCTTTGACCCAGAAACTCCGGGCGTGTTTTGTGCGGTAACCTTATACCCCGCGATAGTTAGTGGCTTCTGTAAGCTAGTTAATAGTACGATAGAGTTAAGTGACTGTCATCGTGGTGAACCAAGAAAGTGACTGTGGATAACCTCGAAAGGCCCCCTCAAGTTGGAGCGGTGTCGACGCTCGGGCTGCTGCCGACGGCTAAGGTCTAGGTTCAATCACCATCAGTCACACCCAGATACACACCACATCACCATTCTTTCCCTTGCACTACACAACCACATGCGACCTGAACGACTCCGGAGGGACCAGTCGCCTTGGATAGAGGTAAGTGCACTCCGCCAAATTCCTTCCGGTCGACTGGCCGTAGTATAACGCTCCCCCATATATTTAGTGTAATTAGAGAGATTCCACGTGGCCTTAGGAGCCCCGACCTACGTTTGCTCGGGAAGTCTTCTGCTGATGGGTCCCAGGGGATTGAATCCTTTAAGGGAGCAACCGTAGGACGTAACAATGATTTTTACGCCAAACAGTATCTCCCACATTAAATTCTTTAAAAGCCCGGCGAAGATCATAGCGAGCGCTATTTTTAGCGTGCGCTATGTAAAGTTTAGTTTGAACTTTGTGAAAGATAGATGAGAGGAGACCAGCATTAGACGCGTAAATATCGCGAGGCATAAATATTAATTCCTCGAGGTTCTGAGTTGGAGTATAGAAGGAACCACAAGGTATTGTTTCCCTACCAAAGACTAAAAAGTTTGGAGTAAAGCCAGTAGCTACATTTTTAGCGCTGTTCATTGCGTACTGAATTTTAGTAAGATGGTTGTCCCATGATCTATGATCGTCTCCTACTAGAGATGCTAGAGCTGTAATAATTGTACTATTAAACTTCTCCGTAGGATTAACCTGAGGACAATATAAAGCTGTGTGAAAAATAAAAGGAACGTTATAAGAATTTAAGAATGAGTGGAATTCTCGCGACTGAAATTGAACAGCATTGTCCATTATAATAGTTTGAGGAATGCCATGAACTAGAAAAACTGAATTTTCCAAAACATTAATAATATTAGCTGAAGTAGCACGTTTAAGGGGAAAAATCATAGTAAATTTAGTAAAATTGCAGTTAATTACTAGAATATACTGATTTCGTCTTCGAGTCATAGGCAATGGACCCATAAGATCTAAGGATATAGTTTGAAAAGGTCTGGAGCAAAGTTTAGGTTTACCCATAAGACCATAGGGAGAATGATTAGGGTGTTTGTAGGTTAAGCAGGTTTCACAAGTTGAGATTAAATTGGCAATATCCTTAAACATACCAGGCCAATAGTATTTTAAAGATATTTTCTTGAATGTCTTGAAGATACCAAGATGGAGTTCTGAAGGGGAACCATGGTTAACTTCAATAATTGCATGTCTATCTTGAGGTAGTGGAACTTCTTTCCAAATAAAGTCATCGTTTAGACGATCGGGAGAATGGATGCAGCGGTAAAGTTTGTTATCCCTGATAGTATAGTTGGGATATGAGTCTGGGTTGTTGGAGCATCCGAGAAAAATCTTGTTGTAGTGCTCAAGTTTACGATCAGGTGGTTCTTCAATCGTAATAGGGTGTACGCCTTGAGGTGAAATTTCTCGTGTATCAGGACGTTCTTGATTCTTATGTCTTGATAATAAATCTGGAACAACGTTATCCTTTCCTTTTTTATGTTTCAGGACAAAGTTAAAGCAAGATAAGCGTAAAGTCCAGCGAGCAAGTCTTCCTGATGGATTCGATAAGTTCTGAAACCATTTAAGTGCAGCATGGTCAGTATATATTGTAAATTCTTTACCATTGTCTAGGTAACATCGCCAATGTTCTAACGCAGTTATTACAGCCAATGTTTCTCTTTCAGTAGTTGAGTAGTTCTGTTGATTTTTGTTTAGTGCTTTACTCATGTAAGCAATCACGACTTCTTTGTCATCTTGATGTTGAGTAAGCATTGCTCCTATGCCATAGTTTGATGCATCACAATGTACAGAGAAGGGTAGTTCGAAGTTAGGACAAGCAAGGACAGGAGCAGTTACCAAAGCTTCTTTAAGTTTCTGGAAAGCAGCTGCAGCTTGAGAATTCCAAAGAAATTTAGGAGCGTTCTTCCCGGAACAGGTTAGTTGATTGAGTGGAGAGGCAATAGTGCTAAAGTTTGGAATGAATCTTCTGAACCAGCTGCAGGTGCCTATGAATCTTCGCACTTCTTTTCTACAAGTAGGTACAGGATATTCTAATATAGCTTTTATTTTATCTGGATCAGCACGTAGACCGTACTTGTCCACTAGAAAACCAAGGTATTTCAGTTCTTTCCTGAAGAATTGACTCTTCTCAAAGTTAATAGTCAGATTAGCATATGAAAGTTTTTCATGAGGAGTGATATGTGTTCATCAAAAGTCTCGCTAATGATAACGATGTCGTCCAGATAGCAAAATACCTTGTTCTCAAATTCAGGGGTAAAAAGCATATCCATTAATCTTTGTAGAGTTGCAGGTGAGTTAGAAAGACCAAAATGCATTACCTTAAATCTAAACATACCTCTTCCAGGTACATAAAATGCAGTTTTATCCTTATCGGCAGGATTCAAGGGAATCTCCCAAAATGCTTTCGCAATGTCGATGCTTGATAAGTATTTGGCATTCCTCAAGTTGTCCAAAATTTCGCTTATTAGTGGCAGACTATAAGCATCACGACGTGTAACTGAGTTAAGCTTCCTGCTGTCTACGCAGAACCGCCATTCACCATTCTTCTTCGGAGTGATGAGAACTGGAGATAACCAAGGACTTTCGCATTGTTCAATGACGTTCCATCGCAGCATCTTGTCAACCTTATTAATTAACGCCTTTTGTTTTTCAGGAGACAGTCTGTAACATCTTTGTTTGATTGGAAGAGAATCACCAGTGTCAATCTTGTGGGTGATTAAGTGTGTGCATCCCAGGACACCTTTTTCTTCAAAAGAAATTGTCTTGAAACGTTGGATGATGTCATTAGCGATGTTCTTTTGATTAGGAGTTAAATGCTCATAAGGTAAAACTTTAGTATCTTTAGTTTCGATAGCAGAACATTTAGATTCTGTAAAGTTAAGAGAAGATAAAACACTAGGTAAAAGATTAAATTTTCTCCAAAAGTCAATACCTAATATTAGCGAAGGAAAAATTTCAGGGAAAACGTAAGCTTTAATTAAATGAGTTTGATTATTAAAATGAATAGGTAAGTCAAAATAACCCAAGGAATTAACTTTTTGATTATTAGCAGTAGAGACAGTAATAAGATCTGACTTGAAAAGTTTGCAGCCCAGTTTAAGAATTTCCAAATGAGAATTATTACCCAGAATAGTTACTGAACTGCCAGAATCTAGTAAACCAGATAAAGTTAAGTTATAAATTTTGACATTAACGAATGGACGATTAAGATCTTGTTCCTTGGAGTAGAGTGTAGAAGAGATTCTGTAACAAGAAAAGAAGTTTTGAATTGTTTTAATTCAATTAGTCCAATCGTCGTTATCAAAGTTTAAGTTACTTTTCAAGTCAGTAGTTAGTTTTTTGAACTAGTATTAGGTTTGGGAGAACAAGTAGGGCAATCTGCAGTTTTAAAACCCTTAAGACCACATTTGAAACAAATCACGAATCGTGGTTGAGTACAAGTGTTCAAAGAATGTCCTTGTTTACGACAGCGAACACAAAAGGAGGTTTGTTGAGGAGCTTTAGTTTGAGAGAGACTATTAACTTGTCTAGAAGGGTATTTGTAGGATGGAGTGAATTTATTCATGAGGGGAGGAGAGGGTCGTGAGTTATTAGAAGAATTTGGAGAGTCAACTGAACTTGAAGTGGAATGCTTGTAGTTGAATTCAGAAATAAGAGGACTTTGTTGTACATTTGGTTCTTTAAATTGTTTGTCTCTGTCTAGGAATTTTTCATAGTTTTGGCAAGTAGCCAGAAGAGAGTCGATAGAGTCAATGTATTTTAGAGCTACGAAGACTGAATAACATGGGCGAATATTCCTTAAAATAATCTCCAATTGTTCTGTTTCAGAAAGTTTCTTTGAAAGACGAGAAAACATTCCAGACATGATGGAAATATAGATGACAATAGGTTCATCTCGACCCTGAGTTCGATTCCTAATCGCTTCTAAAAGTTTGTGATCATAATCAAAACCACCAAAGTCTTTGATTAATAACGAAGAAAGTTCGTTCCACGTTAAGTTTGGATTCTGATTATATTTAAATCTGAACCAATGAAGAGCATTGTCAGTGAAAATTTCAAACGCTTGTGAAATCAACAAGTCTTTGGACAAGCCACGAGCTATACAGTATTCTTCTAGTTTTTGAAGAAAGGATCTTGGACAGCTTTTACCATTGAAGGTGTGTCTTTTCAGATCTTTGAAGACGTTGGTTGGAGAAAAAGATTGAGGTGGTGGTGGAGGATACGGGGTATGGACCTGAATAGAATTTTGAGAAACAAGAGGGAGTTCCGGACAGTCGGGTCAACCGTGACAGTCGGGTCAACAGGAGGGTCAAGTGATGGAGGGTCATTTTCAGTTGGAGCTGGAATCAAGGATTCAAATTGTTTAGTAATATCGTCATATTTCATCTTCAAAGTATCGAAAATAGCTTTAAAGTCTGGATATAAGTCAGTATCTATTCGTTCCAATCTGTAAAAGATATGATTAATAAAAGTTTCTATTAGTCGCAAGTATTTGGTTTCGCCTTGTAAAAATTTTTTAATTTTACAGTCCAAGTAGGTCAAAGTAGAATCAATTTGAGACAAGTCATCCTCAATCGGAATTGGAGAAGTCAGAATATCTTCAGGGTGAGAATTCGCAACTAAACGCAAAACCTGTTTTTTTAGAAGTAAAACAGTATTAGCTGGTTCCTCATATCTAATCTTCACTTCGTATTCGAGTTCGGCCTTGTTAAGGAATTCGTACTTAATAACCCTTTTCATTTTTATAATTATGTGTAAAGTTAAGTTTAAGAAATAAAAATTTAATTAAAAATTATATCTCTTTAAGTTATCTAGAATAAAAATATTAAAGTGATGGATGTAAGTAAGGTGTTAAATGTAGGTCTAAATATAATCTAGATAAGTTGAAAAACTAGATGAAGTTTTGTTCTAGAATAAAAATATTAAAGTGATGAATGTAAGTGTTGTGTGAAATGTAGGTCTAAATTTAATCCAGATAAGTTGAAACACTAGATGAAGTGTTGTTTTAGAATTTGGAAGGTATGAAAAGGATGAATAAATGAATGATGAATAATGGGTTAAGAACGAAAGGGAGAGCAATTAAATCAAAAGGGAATGGACAAGGCGCAGTAAAGGTGAAGAATTAAGAGAGAAAGAGGACTTTTACGTTGGGCGCCAAATGTCGTGAAGCGACAATTAAAAAAAAATAGAGAACCTAACCTAAGTACAACAAAACAACAAAAGTAGAGCCAGAAAACAATATATTTAAATTTATAAAAGGTATTTACAATTTTATAAAAAAATGAAATGAGGATGATGATGAATGAAGTGAGAGTACAATTAGATTATAAAAAAATAAAGATAAGAGAATAGGGGAATATAGTGTTGTAGTGGGGCCTAAAAGTCGAAGCGACACACGTTGCGTTTGTAGAAGTAGGTTTCTTAGCAGCGACGGCGCGCAGCGCCTGGAGCCAGTACACGCAGCGTCCGGAGCCGGCGCACGTAGCGCCTGGAGAAGGGGCGCGCAACGCTTAGAGCCAGCAGTTGCAGCGCCCAAAGGTAGCGCCGGCGGTAGGTGCACTCGGCGCCTGGAGTAAGTAGTAGTAGTGCCCGGAGTAGTGTGGCCCCCGCGCTTGTAGTAGACTCGAAGCGACTTCCGAGGTAGATGGAGGCTTGTAGGATTCCGGGGTGGCGCGACCCGAGTTTGAAGAAGGCTTCGCCGAAGACTTCACGTGTAAATGGAGGCTTGCAGGATCCCGGGGCAGTGCGGCCCCGGGATAAGTCCTTTAGGAGATACTTCCAATTCGCGAACTGAAGCGAGACTGCCTTTCTTCACCGATTGTTCGGCTTTTATACCTTTCTAGAGAGAACGGAAAAATTATTTAAATTATACGCAAATTTTTTGTAAATGGTCAAGAGAAAAGAGGATTTATGTGGAATTATCGAAATAGGAATAACAGATCGGTAGCAAATTTGAATATAATTACCATGGAAACGATATAAATAAGAAAGACAAAACATGTCAAATTTTTGTTTTTGGTTTATAATAAGAAAACGGTAAGATTTAAGTGGAAAATGAGATATTATTTTTATTTATTTTATTTATTTACTCTTTATTGTACACCAAAAACAAAACAAAAACGAATACAATTAAATCTAAATTAGAAAATGT